AGCCTTGAACTCGGTCTACCAAACCAGTAAGCAAAAGTAAAAGCATAAAGGTTTGGAAATCCTTAAAATTTCCTGGTGGCAGCAGATTCTACCCAGTTAAACAAAATACAGAACACTTTTAAAGTGAAACTAGTCCTCCCCAATAAGGAGGACGTCACACTTACATATTCCAATGAAATTATATTCCAACAAATTTGTATGCATTCTTTAAATAAATAAAGATTCCAAATGGACACTGTACTTCAGTGTAGAACTTTTAAAAACAGGCACGTATCACTGTTGTATTCCATCAGATAGTCAAGTCTTTATTAACTTAATAAATGAGCTATTATGTCTCTTGGGTATGAAAAAGTTAGCATGTTTTGATTCTATTCTATAAAAAGTACTGGCTGTGACCAGTTTAAGTGTGAACCACATGTTATATCATCTCCCCATATGTGCCCCAGAGAGCTTTGTGCTCAGTGGACCATCATTTAAGAGTTGTCCCCGGGCCAAATGATGTCAGCTTAGCCTCAACCAGGGTCAGGGCTTTTTGCGCCCTGGCCCTGGCCTGGTGGAACATGCTCCTGTCTGAGATCAGGTTCCTGTGAGGCCTATTACAGTTTTGCAGGGCCTGCAAAATGGAGCTGTTTCACCAGGCCTTTGGTTGAGGCGGCGGGCACCCAAATATTTGGCCTCCCTTGCTTTCCAACTGTATGCTGCCCACATTAATAAGATCTCTACTGTTTCCTGGTACATGGCCTAGTTGCTTCCAGCCATTTAGGATTGTTGAACCATATGAAGTTATTGTATTACCTGCATTTTTAATTGTTTTAACAATTTATTTGCTACAATTGATTCTAATATTTTTGTAACTTTACTGTTGCGACCCGCCCTGAGCCTGCTTGCGGGGAGGGTGGAATATAAATCAAAATTCATAAGTAAATAAATAAATAAATTTATGCTTTGACTAGAATGGGCACAATCAAGCGTGTGCTTGTTCCATTGATTCTCATGGGATGTAAGTGTA